GGGTTTAGGGCCCATTCAATACCCATAAAATCTGGGGTATACTTCAAGGGTTTAGGGTTTAGGGGTTTGGGGTTTAGGGGTTTAGGGTTTAGGGGTTTAGGGTTTGGGGTTTAGGGCTTAGGGTTTAGGTCATCATATACTTGCATCAACTCTGCTAGTTGGCTCTATACATAAGCAAGCATGCTGTACTATAAGCTGCCCTTACAGATTGATATGGAGTAGTATGGATTCCTCAGGCCTTGACCTTTGCCAACACATACCTGCAACCCTCTCAAAAAATGCAGAAATCCGAATCCTTGTCTTTTCTTGGGGATTTGCAAGATCCCACCCAAAAGCAAGATCAACACATAAGCCCTCTCTCTCTCTCTCTAAAACCATTTTCTGGCCATGCTATAACCATTTCAGGACACGACAGAAAGCTATCTGGGACAAGTTTGTTTGTAGACCACAATTCAATCTGAGATTGGGTACGGCCGTTATCTTACTGGGGCGGTTAGTTAGTAGGCAATGAGGGTACATATATATATATAGAAATGTATATGTATATATATATATTATTAATTCAGGGCTTACATAGAGATCACCGTCAAGTATAGTTTGCACGGTAACCTTATAAACCCCCTATCTTGCCCAGCATGGTTCTGAAAAAAGGTAACCTTTGACAGGGTGGCCACAGCATAGGGGTCTCTGCTTTTGAGCACTGCCTCTAAGACCGCGAATGCAAACGGCTTAGCAACCTTAACGCCTTACTTACTAAGCAAAAAACCGCCAAAACTGCTCAACCTTAAATGCTAAAGTGGATTCCATGAGTTGTCGCGCTTCTCTGTGCAGGCGCGGGGCAGAAGATGCATCCTTGCATTTCTCGAGCCAAGAAGTGAGCAGGGTTTACAGGGATTCTACATGTTACAGAGCACCCTAAACCCTAAAGGAGAAGAAATGAAGCGATGTAAACAGTGTGCAGGCACATCTTTCCCTGTAGGCGCAGCGTGTTGGGTTTAGGATGTTGGTGTGGGTGGGGGGGGGGGGTTCGTCTACCTATAGGCCTCCTACCATACAGCCTCTTTGTTCGGTTAACCGGTTTTCCCCGAATAGAATACGTACTCACCAAGGCAACAAGTTCAGAGCACCTTGTTGTTACAGCGGTGCTTGTTCTACTTCTAGTGTCCATGATGCCATCAGTTTCTTTTCAGTTCCCAAGACAATTCTCATCGCCACGTTGTCGTTGCCTGTATTGAATTGTCGTGGCTGGAACCGGTTTTGTGCTGAATGCCATCACTGCAGCTGGCTGCCGCGGGCAGGGCAAGGGTATCCTTTCCAAACACACCTCATCACCCGACTTATGTAGAAGACTAGACAGTTATGAATATCATTGAGGTCTACTTGAGATACCCTCTACTATATTTGTATAAGAAGCCGAGGTTGATGTTTAGTTTCGGTATTACAGGGGCAACGGTAAGTTGGCAGCCAAAACCTATGCTGCAGAATACGAGCATACTAAGGACGAAAAGGCGGCCTCAAACCTACTACCCTGCATTCAGAAATCCCAAAGGTCAAAAGCTAGGTCAGATAAGTGGACAGGAGGCATTGTTTCTAGACTTGAAACCCCAAGGGCATGTATGCCAGCTGCATAGTCTGGGTTGCTGTTAAGGAACTTAAATGAAGTTACTATATTGGGGAAACCCTATTATTTACCATATATACGCATGATGGTAACTGAACCTAAGTTCCTTAACAGCAACCCAGTAGTGCGGGAGTGACCTGCGATTGAGTGGGGAAGTGCCCTCTCCTCTAAGCTCCTCCAGCCAGCACCATGCTGTCAGTCAAAAATGGTGTCTAAGATTTCTAGACCTGCCAGCAACCAACAAGGAATTGCGTAGTTTGTTCCGAAAAGACGTCCCGCATCAGCTTAGGAACCTGCAATTTGGAGTTAAGGGTTTTGGATTTAAGGTTCGGAGTTCAGGGTTTAGGGTTGCTTTGACAAACCCTGCCATCCTTTCTCTGGGGTTTAGCGTTGAGGTGGCTGGCTGGCTTAATGACCTAAAGTTGACGACAGATCCCAAAGCTTCGGCTATATCGTAGTTTCCAAAAAAAAGAGGGAACTCCAACATAGACACCGGAATACTATAACATCCTTACTTTGCCCAATTAAAGACGTAATCTAATTTTGGGAAACCATAAACCCTATCTATCTATGTATATATATATGTAAATATCCACCCCTATATATCCCTAATGTATGTAACTCCCATAACCCATTCAAATGGACCATACATACATCAGAAAGGCTCCAACGCCTGCAATCAAGCTATGATGTTCTTGGGCGGGTAGCACCAAAATATATCGATGCTACTTATAGACTCAATGGCCCAAAGGGGTTTACCCTAAACCCTGAACCCTAAGCCCAAAAACAAACCCTTAGGAAAGACCTAGATGTTCGAATCTGTGTATACCAAGATTTGGGGGGGTTGGGTTTAAGCCTTATGATAATCTGCTCTCAATTAGGATTAGGGTTTAGGGTTTAGGGTATAGGGATTCCAAGTTGGGCATCTAGCCTTAAATCCCGAAACCCTAAACTAACTTTAAACGACGTAAACCCAGATTCCCAGCAGGGGTGCGCCCATTTCTGCTCATGTTCAGGATTCCTTGTGTGATTTCTTGTATCTTCTTTAAGCTTGACAAGGGGACATCGAGCGCGATGGGAAGCCTCAACTCCTAAACCCCTTACAAAACAACAGCTTGCATGTTCTTTTTCCAGTTTAGGGTTTCAGGGATTTAGTGTCTAGGGTTTTAGGATAAGGGTCCCCTACGTATATCCTTACGAAGCCCCGCAAACTGCGCCATCAAGGAGCCGATGCTTTCGACAGCAGCAAGCGCAAGGGTACAGCTAAGGAGAGATCTGCACCTAAGGGCTTAGGCTTTAGGGTTTAGGGTTCAGGGTTTAGGCTTTCAATCTTAGGGCTTTGGGTTTAAGGTTTAGGGTGTAGGGATGGAGGGTTTTGGGTTTAGGGGTGGAGGGTTAGCATGATATGGGGCTTTCCCAAAATGAGGGGTACCTTTTATAGGGCTCATATAGGGACATTAGCCCCCCCAATATTGGAGAATCAAAT